GGGACTTGAGGTCCTCTGACGGCTGTACAGATGATTCAGGGTCGTGTATGGTCTTGAGCTCACGAAGAGCTCCCTGGGGCGTCTCTGCGCTCTTCATGATTTTCCGGTCATTTACTTTCAACGCGTGAGACAGGAAGTTCCACGCGTGGAATGCGGGCTCTACTTGCTCGCTCCGGTACTGCTGTGACAGCGAAAACTTGCTCTTTNTTCTAGAGATCTTGGTCGACGTCGGGGACTTGAGGTCCTCTGACGGCTGTACAGATGATTCAGGGTCGTGTATGGTCTTGAGCTCACGAAGAGCTCCCTGGGGCGTCTCTGCGCTCTTCATGATTTTCCGGTCATTTACTTTCAACGCGTGAGACAGGAAGTTCCACGCGTGGAATGCGGGCTCTACTTGCTCGCTCCGGTACTGCTGTGACAGCGAAAACTTGCTCTTTCCGCTGTTGACGGGGATCTCCAAGCTACCGCTCTCTTCAAATTGTTCCAACAGGTTTGCGCCATTAGCTGCCATGCGGAAATCATTTAGCCGTTCGTTGAAATCTTTCGATTTCCCGCTGAACGGAGGAGAAGTGTACCGCACACTTTGGTACCCCGTCGCCGGGGTTGTCGCTCCGTATCCAAAGCCAACAGCAGCACCACCATCTCCCATGGCACTACAATACTCTTGGTTGTGAGCAGCGGCTACTCTCACCTCTTGGGGGACAAAGCCCCCTGCTTCGCCGCTGTGTCGCCCTGACGGGCCAGACTCTCGAACAGGTTCGCGCAGGTACCTCCCGCCCTTCGCACTCCCGGTCCACGGTGCCCCTCCTTCGGCGTTTGTGGACTCCGCGGCGGCGCTCTCCTTAGCATCGCCGCGATCAGCGGCACCCTCCATGGTGCCAGCTGGCTCCTCCTTCTTGCTTACCTTCATAGTATCTTCCACTAGCGACATTAGTTGGCTCATCTGATCCGTCAGCGAGCTAACTTGCGTCCTTAGGGCCACGAGCTCTTCTCTTGACCTCTTCCTGTCTTCCGCCGCAGAGTCGCTGGAGGATTCACCCCCATCTTTGCGACTTGACATTCCTAATGGACTCTCCCTCGAGGGACTGACACTAGTGTGTTCGAATATGTCCTTTACTTGGAAGGGGAAGACGTGTTATCTCTTGTATTAGACACGCAAGGGGAGTAGGGAGAAGTGAAGCCCTCTTTGGAGTTCGAGGGGTCCCCGCACATGCAACCATTTCAAGGTGTANCAGATCTAACCAGTCCGTATCCAAACACACGAACAGGCGCTGTAAGTAGTGACTAATTGTCGAGAACTCACAGTGACGAGTTGACCATCCAGCGGGCGCGAAGGCGGCCGTTCACGTCCGGAATCAAATCTTGATGCATGCCGGGGTCTGTAGTCGGGATCTCGGTGTATGCCCAACGGTCATCCTTCACCTGAAGAAAACACGAACTCGCCAGAGAAGGGCTGTGCGTCAGGGTGAAGAGCTGCCGCGCTTAAGGACTCCTATCATCCTAGGTTGTAAGTGAGCCTTTTGCAACGATACCCGCATCAAGATGACGAGTCAGTTCATTCACCATGTTGTCGACAGGATCCGTCGTGCCGAAACAAAACTCTTGGAAAAGCGGCGAATCGATCGTAATACCGTCGCCAGCGGTAGCATTTCCGCCTCAAGGTACTCGATGGTGAAGTCCCAGTACGGCACGGTCAGCTTCGGGTTCACACGCTACAGGCTGTACTCAGACGTGTTGGTGAGAATCGAGAGGCCGGTGAAGAACCCGAGGCCGTCGTGGAACTGAGGAACGCACGACGTGGCGAGAATGTGCGGGCGGAATGGTCGGTGTGTGTGTTGAAGCACGAGGAAAGAGCGAGGGACGGGTGAGTGAGTTGTTTGGCACCAGATTGGCAGCGCTTGCGTTGCTGTCGGTCATAATGTTTCAGAGTGGGTGAAAGAGAACATTCCGGATTCTCGACAGCAACATACCTCCGGGAGCCTAGCAACATTTTTCGTCTGCTTCCATCATAACGTCACCAAACCACCGCTGCGGTGTACACAGGGCGGTGATTAACAACTTGGTGGTGTGGGAACTCTGGCTGAAACCCTACGAAGGGACAGGGTTGACGTTCTGACGACGATTTTCGCCGGAACGTTCAACATGGCCCAATCGAAAGTCTCACAAATGTGGTGGAAGCAACACCTCTTCCCAAACTATCCCCAACAATCTAGTCGTCAGCCACCCGGGGAATTGAGCACGCACGGCTGTTTCATAGATTTTCAAATGGGGAATGCGGATTAGCTTTTCTTTCGGGCAAGGCTGGGTATTTTTGGAGTAACGTTCCCAAAACCCAAACCAAAACAGAACGTTGTTTACAGGTATGCACCCAAGAACTTGCAAAATACATGAATCCACCGGCGAAACATCCCTTACACACAGACTAGGCCTGTTGAAGAAGAAGAACGAACAGTTACGAACCAACAGTTCAGCTTACTCCAAGTATCTTCTCCTTGAAAATACTTCGTTGTGCTTGTGGCCAAACACCAAACGATAGGGCGTGACGCCTCCGCCTACACGTATCATATCGCAACCAAGCTCCAACTGACCGATTTCCCACTAACTGATGTGAACTTCTTCGTGTTCCTACGAGCTATGATCTTGCTATGTACTTGAGTAGAATACACCGTACAATAAAACATGAAGTAGTCGTATCGCTTCTTCCCTCGTTCGTTCATTTCAAATAGGATATATCAACCAAGCACCAGCTACCCGATCTCCCGCCAGTTGATCTGAACCCCTCCATGTTCTTCCGACATGTCATCTTGCTGCTTGGGTAGCCTATACCTTACGAAAAATCCTTGCGTACTTGTACCACTTCATCTTTGGTTCATTCATTTCAACTCACGTGGTCGCAGGTAGTGTTTTGCGCTGCCTTGAAGTGCAGGCGGGTAATGGAGAGGATATCCGAAAAACCGTCCCCGTACAGCTCGAGGCCGTTGCCAGCGTTCACTCGCACCGCCCAAAGCTGGTGCATCTGTACATTAGTCGGTCAAGGAACGCCAACAACGGTAAAGGCGCCGAGAAATGTAAAGCAATTCACAGCAAGCAGCAGATGTGATATATTTTCAGAAGAAAGCAATATCAGGTAAACGTGTGCAGACCACCGCTGTACTTTGACGGCCTTTTCCGTACGGCTGTTGTCGGGGGTTGCAAGACTAAAACACAGCTTGGAGAGTGGCAACGAACGATGGATGGCACCAATACATATGTATCGAACTGAAATAT